GCTTAATTAACCGACTTGTTATCACTTTACAAACACTTTATTTAATTTGCAATCCCAAACTCTTTGATTGTACTTTATTAGTTTTATTAATAAGTTATATGAATTTATAATAAATCGGTCAAAATTATTGAAAAGTTCTACTTACTCTTATTTTCACTATTAAAGGTACGACCGCACTGGGCGACGCGACACGACACTACACAGCGCGGAAAATATTCTCTGCATGGATTCATATGGAGCATACTGCACTACGCTGCAGCGGAGCTACGCGACGCGACGCTGCGCGGCAAAGTTGACCAACTAGGCAAAAATGTCGCGTCGCGTGGTGTCGCGCAGTTCCGGTGCCGCATAGTGTGGTATACCCAGCGGAGCGACATAACATTTCGTACTATATTTTTAACTTGAAGAAATTGATTTCGAATTGTAAGTGAATATTCAGATGCATTTCNACGTACTATATTTTTAACTTGAAATTGATTTCGAATTGTAAGTGAATATTCAGATGCATTTCATTCAAGAAGAAAATTGTATGTAAAGAAACATAACATTTGANAAGTGAATATTCAGATGCATTTCATTCAAGAAGAAAATTTTATGTAAAGAAACATAACATTTGAGGAGAATTCGCCAAGGAAAATAAAAATAAAAGGCATTAACATTACATCAGCGTCACTGGCATCCATCTTGTTTGAATGTTTTGACGCAAATAAATAAAAAAAAATGCAGCGAAGTGTCGCGCCGCTGCAGTTTCAGTGCGGTATACCAAAAAGTGTCGCGCCGTGTCGCGTAGTGCCGCTGCAGTGTCGCGTCGCCCAGTGCGGTCGTACCTTAAAATCATAACAAAATTTGACAGCTGCCGTTGCTGCACAGCGCTCCTGGCGGCCGAATAAAGTACTAAAATTTAGGCTAAGCAAATTTTAGCGACAGGGTGGACAGAATCGCGATCTTTGGAGTTCGCCAAAAATTAGGATAAAATTTTATCTTAAGCGTTTTAGCAGATTTTAGCATTTTAGCGATAACAAAAGTTGGAATCCGGGTGCTGGTGTCCACGCATTTTTAGCTGTTTGCTGTATTATTGTTTTATGTACTAAAATTATAATAATTGCATTTATCTGTGTCTGTTTCAATAGAATCAGAAGGATAAACTAAGAAACTTAAGTTTTCGAAAAGCAAAAATAAATTGTGTTTCTAAAATGGAATGATTGCAGTAAGTATTTGATTTAGATACAGTATAGTTATTTCATTTTTATGACAGTTTATTAACCAATAAATCAATGCAGTTCATATACCAAAAACAAATTAAAATGTTTTATTAGGTTCCCTGCTGAAGTTTAGAAAAAAGAAGTCTGATGAGGAGATATGGTGATCTCCGAAATAGTGCTATAACTTCTACCGCTTAGACTTTGTTGTGTAAATTGTGTTTCTAAAATGGAATGATTGCAGTAAATATTTGATTTAGATACAGTATAGTTATTTCAATTTTATGAGTTTATTAACCAATAAATCAATACAGATCATATACCAAAAACAAATTAAAATGTTTTATTAGGTTCCCTGCTGAAGTTTAGAAAAAATAAGTCTGACGAGGAGATGTGGTGATCTCCGAAATAGTGCTAAAACTTCTACCGCTTAGACTTTGTTGCTTTTTCAATTTTTCCTAATAAACAATCGTGGTACAAAGTTCAATAAAAATATTAAAAATAAAATGTTTTATTAAATTTTGTATGCGCCAAATTCCTATGAATTTTGTTTGCTCGGTGGGGATGCTTCGGCCGATGGGGTAAAAAGGCGAAATGTTCGCGTTTCGAATCTCGTGGCATCTGTTTTATTTAAACGATAAACAATAAATATGAAGAACGAAAACCATGATTNTTAAATTTTGTATGCGCCAAATTCCTATGAATTTTGTTTGCACGGTGGGGATGCTTCGGCCGATGGGGTAAAAAGGCGAAATGTTCGCGTTTCGAATCTCGTGGCATATGTTTTATTTAAACGATAAACAATAAATATGAAGAACGAAAACCATGATTAACAAAAACATAATAATAGTTGCATACATACATAATCTTCTTCTTATTTGGCGCAGTAACCACTCAGCAAAGCACGTCAGTCGTTTCCTTTCTGTGCCAATGGACGCCAATTCGAAATGCCGAGTGAAGCCAAGTCCTTCTCCACCTGGTCTTTCCATCGCAGTGGAGGCCTCCCTCTTCCTCTGCTACCACCAGCGTGTTCCGAGTTGAATACTTTCCAACCAAGCCAGTGGAGCCGCGGTATTTTAATTCGCAGGACTATGTCCACGTCGTTGTAAAGCTCATTCAGGTCATCGTTCCATCGTCTGCGGTACTTGCCGTCGCCAACGCGTTAAGGCCCGTAAATCTTCCGCAAAATCATTGGGTGCATTCCAAAACGTTGAAAAGACAAAGCATCAGTCTCTTTTACTTCTAAACGGTACTAGAAAAAAAGGTCTGACTTGCGCAGCCTAGGGGAAAACGAGTGTCTAACCGTGGTTGCGTGCATTTGGCATTACAATCTGCTAAGGTTTAGAAATAAAAGGGACTGCTGCTTTGTATTTCGACGTTTTGGAATGCATATTTTCTTTCGAATACTCGAAGAGCCGCCTCATCGGATGTTGCCATTGCCCATGCTTCTGCGCCATATANAGCATCAGTCTCTTTTACTTCTAAACGGTACTAGAAAAAAAGGTCTGACTTGCGCAGCCTAGGGGAAAACGAGTGTCTAACCGTGGTTGCGTGCATTTGGCATTACAATCTGCTAAGGTTTAGAAATAAAAGGGACTGCTGCTTTGTATTTCGACGTTTTGGAATGCATATTTTCTTTCGAATACTCGAAGAGCCGCCTCATCGGATGTTGCCATTGCCCATGCTTCTGCGCCATATACCAGCACGGACATGATGAGTGACTTATAGAGTGTGGTTTTCGTGCGTCGAGAGAGGACTTTACTTCTGAATTGCGGTCTCAGGCCAAAGTAGCACTTGTTGGCAAGAGTGATTCTGCGTTGGATTTCCATGCTGATTATCGGTTTTAATGCTGGTTCCCAAGTAAACGAAATTCTCTCATTTCTCGAAATTATAACTGTCAACAGTGACGTGGGTGCCAAGGCGCGAATGTGCTGACTGTTTGTTTGATGACAGGAGATACTTCGTCTTGTCCTCGTTTACCACCAGACCCATGCGCTTTGCTTCCCTATCCAACTTGGAAAAGGCAGAACAGACTTCGCGGTTTTTGTTACCGATGATGTCGATGTCATCGGCATAAGCCAGCAATTGCACGCTCTTGTAGTAAATTGTTCCTGAGCGNCTTTGCTTCCCTATCCAACATGGAAAAGGCAGAACAGACTTCGCGGTTTTTGTTACCGATGATATACAGTATATTTTGCTTAGCTGCACGTAACCGAAAAAGGCACTTAAGAGAATTTTCTTTACTACTTCAATGACGAAGGTATCCGAATCCCTATGAAACCAAATATTGGCGGAGCACTTACCATGTAGAAATTACTGCAAGCGAAATTTTTACCGAATGTTATCTAATTATCTATATAACTTCCATAAATTGATAGCCATTTTCGTTGTTCTGCGAGATGAGCAAAATAAATAAAAGGTTGTACAATTAGGTAATTGTAGGGCCAGTGCAGGTAAATGTAATACTTTGATTGATAATTGATACTAGTCGCACAATTTTTAAGGCAGTATCGCCAATGTGCAGGTATGTTGAATGAATCTATCGGAGCAGTTTCCTTATAAATGTAAAAAATAATGCTTTTGATGCGCATTTTGGGGTAGGTATCTTAAATGTGCACTTAAGCATAGAGGCAGCAAAGCAAAATATACTGTATATGTCATCGGCATAAGGCATCCTAAGCGGTTCAGTTCTGGAGCTCTTATTATCTTCTCCAACATCAGATTAAAGAAGTCATGAAAGGGAGTCGCCCTGTCTGAAAACTCGTTTGGTGGCGAACGGCTCGGAGAGGTCTTTCCCAATTCTGACTTAGCTGGTGGTATTGCTCAACGTTATTTTACACAGCCGTACCAGTTTGGCGGGGATGCCAAATTCAGACATAACGGCGTATAGGCAACTCCTTTTAGTGCTGTCGAAAGCGGCTTTAAAGTCGACAAATAGGTGGTGGGTGTCGATCCTTTTCTCGTGAGTCTTTTACACGATTTGGCTTATTGTGAATACCTGGTCTATGGTGGATTTTCCAGGTCTAAAGCCACACTGATATGGCCCTATCAGTTCATTGACGGTGGGTCTCAGTCTTTCCACAATACGCTCGATAAAACCTTGTAACCTATGCTTAGAAGGCTGATCCCGCGGTAGTTGGCGTGAACGGCGGGGTCACCTTTCTTGTGGATTGGGCAGAGCACACTTAAATTCCAGTCGTCGGGCATGCGTTCATCTGACCATATTCTGCACAAGAGTTGATGCATGCACCTTATCAACTCCTCGCGGCCGTACTTGTCAGGCTGTCAGCTCCAGCAGATTTGTTGTTTTTCAGCCGCATTATTGCTATACGTCATAGTCAGGCGGTAGAACGTCGACTCCGTCATCATCGACAGGGGCCTCCATAATTTAAGTACGTTCTGAACATCGGTAACTAGGTCGCCGTTGTTGTTCTTACAGAAGTACGCCCTGGTCTTGAAACGTTCCGTAAGTCGCCTAACCGTTGAAACACAATACCGACGAACGGCGAATTTTCGCACAGTAGTGCGACGACGGCGGCAACTTTCGACCAAAAATTTCGCTTAGTAAAACACAACTACGGCGACAACGAATTCAGCTGCTTATGACATGGTACAATTACATCATAGGATTTTTCAGATAATGTTTCACTACAAAGTATGTTATTACCAAAATTGTAGAAAATTTGAAATAAATTACTGCAACTAAGCTAATTATGTTTCTAAATGGAACTTTTTGGAGCCATTTAAATTAATTTGTCAAAATCACCTCTCTTTTTTGTACAATTGAAAAACAGGTATGACGGTTTAATGTACTAGAAATTTCAAAAAATCCATACATCGACTATTTATACATCGAGTGTAAGATTTTCGATGCATCGATGTTTCTCCGACATCCCTAGGCACAATCAAACTTTTAATTTTCCTTTATAAAGTGAGAATATAATTGTGCTAAAGAGATATACATTTTTGAAGATGTATCAAAGAACTTTTCGAAACAGATTTGCAGATTTTTGAAGATGGATCAAAGAACTTTTCGACTTGTGCAAATTTTTAAAATTATGAACATCATGTTCATAATGGTAAAGCTGTATATTCAACGTCTGCAAATATTTCCACTTTTTTGTTGGACTCGGTGCGCCGCAGCCGGAGCTAAGTTGCGAAGTGCGCTTTCGCCTTTTGTAGGTGTCGCGAAGTCCTCTCCACCGTTTTTACATGATTTGCCTACAAATATAGCTTCGATAGTATATTGAATGCAAAATGCTTCCTTTAATTTTTACTTACCCGGTAATCAAACAGATTTGCCGATTTCTTCCCAAATCACTGCCTTTTTAAACACGTTTTTGTATTCATTGCTCGATAAGTCGTACAAACATTCTTGTTTTCTTCTATTAATATTTCATTAATATCCATTTTGTTTGCAATAATAACAAGAATTGTAAGAATTTAAGTTCGTTCGCCGGAATGTTTACTTTCTTCCACAAAAACAGCTTGTACACATGTCAGCTGATAGGGTGACCAAACGTAAAAAAGAAAACTTTGAGAACACAAAAGGAATATAATAACAAATAAATGGTTCAACAAGAACAGGAAATGTTAGAAAATAGTTTATACTAAAATACAATTTTTACGAACAGCAAGATTATTAATTTTTAACAATAACTTATACATTATTTTTCCTTTTCGATTTAAAAACTTGAGAATATTTAGCATTTGGC